TTGCAATTTAAAAGAAAGCTTTAATATTCATAATACATTTTTAGCAAATTTTTTGAACTCCTGAAGACTATAAACAAGCAAAATCAACCTGCCTCTTGATTTTGAGGATAAGGTGGGAAGGGTCTGGGATCATATTCAAACATTACCCACTAATTCAGTAATACTGATCAATATATAAAAGATTAAGAATGCATTATTTATTTTCTTCAATTAAAACATGTAATAATTTCTATGATCATCAAGGATGTCTTTCTATTGAATTATCTATTAAGCACTATTAAAGCAAAAGCAATTGTATTCAATTTTTTCTAAAGTTTAAAAGCTGCATTTTAAAATATTTAATATCTATATTCTTAACTATATTATGAAAATTATTATAGGAATTTCCTATTTCAATTAATCATAGAGCTTTGTAAAAATTTTTGGCCAAATTAAGGACTACGTAAATCAAGGAACATTGACTTTTTTACTTTTGTCAAATAAATTTAATTTTTATATAACTTATTAGGGAAATCTATTCATTTTCACGTTATTGATTATTATATTTGTTTTCACATAATGTATACATATATGTACCTTAAATAACATATATAAATATGTGTATAAAATAGAATATATATGCTTCAAATGTAAATATTTTCATAGTGTATATGAAATTTTAACAAAGGGACTTCAGCAAGAACATTACAAAATGCCTTTTTATCCATAGGCTGCCATTAAAGTCTAAACATTCTCCCAGTGTTTATTATTTCAATCTGTAACATATGCTCTTCTTTTCATCTCTGAACTCAAAATATTTTGTCTGAAAAACTTGGCTTACTTTTTCAGTACTATTCTATTGGCTCTGTTTAAAAAATTCAATACATTTTCATGAGCACAATTTGCATGGAAACATTGTTTTCTTTATTATTCATATGTATGACTATAATATTAACATAGTATTAAAGATTATTTTTCCTTCTAATTTCCTGAGATAAGGAAAACTATTAATTGTATACAAATTCCTGATTTTTAAATTTTATATAAATTACATATAAAACATTTAGGTGTAAAAGCACTCAAGTTGTATAATAATATTTAAAATTTTAATTTATTTGACTTTTAGGTTTTCGAAGAAGTTGTTCTCTCATTTTATTAGATATATGCTTTACAAACTATAGTAACATAAAAATGATTTCCAATGATATCTCTATGTCAGAATTAATATATTAAGTAAATTCCCTAATATTTATATTTTCTGAAATGGTTTATTACTTCAAATATAGATAAATAATGTTTAACATTTTGATTTTATTTCCTAAGTGTTTTTATTTTTACTAAAGTGATTTTTTTATAAAGTATTGTTTTTTTCTGTGTTTTTATTTTTCATAAAGTATTTTTAAAATGTTTTATTATTTTAAATGGTTTGCTTTGATGAAAACTTTTATCCTTAAAATTTTAATTTTACAAATTTCATAACATTCTTTAATATTTTCCTCTTCATTATTAACTATTGCAAGTGAACTTCAATACACTGTATGTAAATGCAGTCAATACAATGTAAATGAAAGTTGGTTAAGTAATTTTAATTTTAAATGATTTATACATTTGGAATATTATTTGAATTTAATACTCACAAGGGAAAATGATACAATAATTTTTATTGAAAAGTTAATTTTCATTCCAGAAACACAATTTGTTTTTTATTGAATTTACTTTTGATTTGATATGAGATTTTTATTTTGATATTGTACACACTGAAAAATGTTTCAATTTGATTTTTGCATAGTATGATTAAAAATCCAGATCCAAATTCAAAACTGGTAAAATTTCTACCTTTCTTTTCTTAAATTGAACAAATTCACACTCATGATACCTGAACTATTTTAAAAATTTAAACTTTTGTCCCTTTCAGTGGTTGGATAATTCTTTATAAATTCCTGAAGAAGAAATATTAAAAAACCCTGCAGATAGGACAATTAGAACATTCTAAGTAGTAAAGTAAGTACCTAATGACTTGGCTCTAAGAACTAAATAAGTCACAGGTAATGGTAAACCAGTTATGCTAGTAAAACACTACATTTCACAAAGCCTATACAGGGCACGATGTGGACCCAACAAATTTCTAGTTCTGAAAAATAGTTCTCAGATGTTGCTGCAATAGAAATTCCTTTCATCATGTGTCCTGCAAAACACATCCTTTACCATGTATCCACAACTAACTGGAAATAAATTGCTATTATAATTTTTAAGTTAATTTTATCAGTTATTGGGTATCATCACTTCATATTTTCCAAAAAGTATACCTGTATTTCAATATTTCAATAGTTGGTAGACCACACTGATACATACTAGCTAAACACAATCTTGAATTTGTGGGAGGATGTGGATACTTCTAGGTGAAACTGAGGAGCAACAGCCTTGCTTCTGATGGAAATGATTTGTTTGTTTGTTTGTTTGTTTGTTTTACCCTGAGACTTTCTAAGATGTCAGTGGACTCTGGATGTGACTTCTGACAGAGTAGAACAAACATGTTCCATATGCTTCAAGCTCAGGAGCACCTGTTACAAGGGTGTGTCTACATAGGGTGAGGGGGCGATAAGAAGCTGTAAAAAGTGCCTCCATATTCTACCCATGCCATTTACTTCTGATAATGGCCCCCTTTTTATGGAATGGTAGGAGACTCCAGGTTTTTATTTATATGATTTTTAATAAATCATGTATTTAACACGTGCCCTGTTTATCAACTGGCAGGCTGTTTAAATAAATCTACAAAGATTGACTTCTGGATTGTAATTTTAATAAGAAAATGATTGTATGTTCTGCCTTATAACAATAAATTTACTTAATAGAATTGGAATACTTTGCAATTTTTTTTCAAAATATGGTAGCTCTTAAGCAGAGCTGCACATTGGAATCGTCTATAAAATTAAAATTTATAAAGTACACACATACTCAATTCTCTAGGGTAGATAAACTGGACCAGAATCTTAGGTGGGGAAATGGAAGAACATGCATACTCTCAGCAATTCAAAGATTACAGATGCTTCGCTGTTCTATCCATGTGAAAAGCCTGCACTCTAAAGGATTAGTAAAAACAAAGGAAAAAAAACATAGTACAGGTCAAAAGTTGACAGAAAGGAACATTTGAACAGTAACCTTTTTTGTATACCTGAAAATGGTCTAGATTTTGTTCTCACCATAATTATGTTTTATGTCTTAATAAAATATTAACTTATCACCATGTTAAGGTACTGCATTTAAATGCTTGTTGTGCCTATCATCTAGCTCAAAATTTAAGGAGTAAGAACATGAAAAGGCCCTTGGTCATCCTGGTAAGCCACCTGTTTCTACTGCTATCAATCCTTAAAAGTTTGTGTCCTGAACACTGTCTGCTTGGAGAAACATGAAGGTAGTGGGGTGAGAAGTTGCTAAGGAGGATTTATCTTGACACTTTACTCCAGTGGAGCATGTGTAACAGTCACCCTGAGGGCTTGTTAAAACACAGACTGCAGGCCCACCCCAGAGTTTCTTAAATTATTAATTTGGGATAGGGGGATAGAAGAGCTGCAAGTACAAAAGTTCCAGGAGCTGTTGGTACTGGGGACTGCAATTTGAGGACCTTTGTTTTACTCTCCAGGCACACTTTTGAGTCGACAGATATAAATTTCCAGGAAAAAAAAATCTCTTATTATACCATCTAAAGAGGATCCATGACAGACATTTTATATAATAATTTAATAGACCTATTTTTATGAACTAATTTGTATTTAGGTTACAAGAACCTAGGATTTAGGAGATTAATGCTTTTCCCTACCTACCTCAGGCCCAAATAATTACACTTCTCCCTAAGCAGAACATTGTTTTTCTACCATTGAATAAATAAAAAATTACACAGTAGAGGCCAAAAGGAAAGGAAAAGAAAGCAGTATCAAAACAAAAACTGTGGACATGAATGAAAATCCATTAATTTAGCTCAATGCCCTGAAGAAAAGAAATGCAAAATTCAATCTAACAACAGCAACTAACCCAAATTACTGCCAAGTCTATTATATTTCTTTTTATGGAGTAAAAAACTTCAGTATTATTGTCACAGCCACATATGCCTTAGGGAACATAATTAACATGTGCCAGAGGTACAGAGTTTCACTGGTACATGATTTCACATGGGAAGAAGCCTAGCAGACACCAAACACTTGTTTGCACAAGTCTGATATGCAGAATTTAATGCATAAATTTGTTCATTCAAAGTCCAAGAATTATAGACATACATTATTTAGTGTATTCAAATTTTTAAAAAAATCTCTCTAAATTGTTTTTCTCAATGAAGAGTCACACTACCACTGAAAATATCACTAGATTTATGGGAAATAGGATTCTTTAAGAGTAGATAGTAAAATTTCCATTCTTCTGAAATTTCATTGGCATCATGGGTTAGCACCTTAGAGATGTACCTGTAAGTTTACTTTTACTTTTAGTCCCTTAGAGACTATGTGCTTTTTTAAAATATGGGAAGAACCCTTTTAATTGGTTCTATTATTTAAATAACTATCTCCTCCCCCCAGGAAAGAACCTGTAGTGCCCCCTTACTTTCAAGTAGTCACTGGTCAGAAATTCTACCATTAAAAGATTAGCCTTTGTGGCGGTCCACTTATAAGGCTGCTGTACTTTTAATACAGCAGATTTTAAAGTCCAATTTTGCAGGCAGTTTACATCCTTCTCCCATCCCACCCAAATGAAAAAAAAAAAAAAAACACACCATCCATTTTTTGTTTAAAGGAATTATGAATAATTTTTTTTTTTTCCAGGCAGAGTTAGAGTGGTGTATTTCCAATTCCAGTGTGGTGTCACACTGCCCTGTGACTGGGGGCGGGACATCTTACTCTTGCAATCATCCTAGACCATCACGCTTCAGTACCCAGGAAAATGAATGTCAGCCACAATATTGCTCAGGACTGGAAAAAAAAATGAGGCAGTTCCAGTGCTTAACACTCTTCTCTTCTCTTTTTGTTTCCATCTAGCTCAGGAACAGCAGCAATTGATGCACAGCAACCAGGTTGAAAGTCACATAGCTATTGACAGAGGAACAGTCGAGCAGCCTCAGCAGCAGCAGCAGCAGCAGCAGCAAGACTGTGGTGACTCAGGTCATAGATTGTAATTACTATCATCTCTAACCCAATTATTGTCAACAAGGTTTATTTCAACTTCCAAACAAGAAATCTCAGCTGTCAAATGTGTGATGGTGACACATTAACATACTCCTAATCCTTTTCTATTGGTGCTGGATGTTGGGAGAAACTGGATGTGCTGCAGATTCTAGGGTGAAAAGATGGAGAATAATTATTGAAGCATTGTGTGCAAACACAGAAGGAGAATACAAGTACTGTGATACTCAGTTATAAGGAAAAGAGCACATTCCTAAATAAAGTCAAACCTTCATCCTCCAAACAGTGCAATCATGGAAGACAAGGGTTTCGGAATCAGAGAAGGAAAGCTTTCTTCCATTGGTTTAGAGGAGATCAGGAATGTTTCTTATGACTAAGAAATACCAAGGACCTTGTGTTGATCAAAAGTTGGCATGCTATATTTTTTCTCATTCTTCTAATCATAAATGTTTTACCATATTTCTTGGGCTTAAATTTAGGTCTAAAAAATATAAGGGTGGTTGGTGCTAACATCTCTTCTGTGGGCTTGGCAGAGATTTGGCATATAAAACAGGGCAATCAAATTGAGAAATCTGACTTAAGGAGAATCTCTTTAAGAATGCAGGTGAATATGCCTTAGAAACTGTCTTCTAATGCATTATAGGGATTGGAATTCAGAAGCTTTATAAAATACTGTCCAATCCTTGAATCATTAAAGTTATATGTAAAGGGATAGAAAATGTCATTGCTGTATAAAGTGATCCAATTTAAATTCTATATATCTCATTAAGGAATGCCCCAGTAAACATTAAAATTCTCAGAATATAGCTACTGTTATATATATAAAGCTACACATATGTAATGCTGGGTCATTGGACTTATTTATTTTTTATTGGTGCATAATAATTATACAGAATAGTGGGTTTCATTGGGACACATTCATAATGCATATAATAAAATTTGATTAATTTCATTTCCCACTACCTCCCCTTTCTCTACCCTGCCCCCTCCCCTTTCTCTACCCTGCCCCCTCCCCTTTCTCTACCCTACTGGTTTGTCTTCTGTTTTCATGAGATCCTTTTTCTTGTTTTTTTTTTTTTTCTCTAGCGTTCACATATGAGAGAAAACATACAGTACTTTATTTTCGGAGCCTTTCATATTTTGTTTGACATGAAGCTCTCCAGTTCCATCCATTTTCCTGCAAATGACAAGATATATTTTCTTCCTTATGACTGTATAAAGTGGTATTATGTATATAGATCATATTTTCTTTATGCATTAATCTGTTGAAGGATACCTATAATAGTTTAATGACTCATCTTGTGAATTTTGCTGTGATAAACATTGATACCCATGCATCTCTATGATATGCTGACATTAATTCTCTTGATTAGATACCTAGGAGTGTTATAGGTTGGTCCCATGGTGATTCTATTTCTAGTGTTTTGGGGAACATCCAAACTGATTTCCACAATGGATGTACTAATTTACATTCCACCAACAGTGTATAAGAGTTTCTTTTTACCAACATTCTTATTGGCATGTATTCTTATTTATATTTTTAATGATTGCCATTTTAACTGGAATGAGTAGAAATCTCACTGTTGTTTTGATTTGCATTTCTCTAATTACCAAAGATGTTGAACATCTTTTTCCTGCATTTGTTGGTTATTTGCATTTCTTCTTTGAAAAATGTCTGTTTAGTTCATTTGACCGTTTATCAATTGGATTATTTGGGTTTTGTTGTTGTTATTGTTTGTTTTGTGGTTTTTTATGGTAATTTTTTTTAGTTCTTTATATATCCTGAATATTAAATCTGGTCAGAAGAGTAGCTGCCTCAAATTTTCTCCCTTTCAGTAGTCTGTTTCTTCATGCTTTTGTTTCCTTTGCTGTGTAGAAGCTTTTTAATTTGATGCAGTCCCATTTATTAATTCTTGGTATTATTTCCTAAACTTTAGGAGTATTATTAAGGAAGTCATTGTCCACATCTTATGTTAGAGTAGTACCTCCACATTTCTTCAAGCTGTCATAAAGTTCCTGGTCTATCCCTAGGTTTTTGATCCATTTTGTATTACTTTTGTGCAGGGTGAGAGATTGGGATCTAGTTTCCTTCTTCTGTACATGGACATGCAGTTTTCCCAGTGCTGTTCATTAAAGAGACTGTCTTTTCCTCAATGTATGCTTTTATCACCTTGGTTAAGGATTGAGTGACTCTCTCTGCAGGTTTGTCTCTGCATCTTCTATCGTATTCCATTGGCTATCCTGTTTATTTTGATATCAATACCATTGTTGCTTTTGTTACTATAGTTCTGTATTATCATTTGAAACCAGATACTATGATGCCTCCAGTGTTGTTCTTTTTTCTCAGAATTGCTTTGTCTATTCTAGGATTTTTCTTCCATATGAATTTTAGGACTGTTGCTTATAATCCTGTGAAGAATGTCACTGTTACTTTGATGGAAATTGTATTAAGTTTGTAGATCACTTCTGGTAATACAGTCATTTTAACAGTATCAATTCTGCCTATCCATGAATGTGGGAGGTCTTTAAGTTTTAGTGTCTTCTTCTATTTCTTTGTTTAGTGTTCTGTGATTTTTCTTTGTATAGGTTTTGGTATACTTATTACTAGGTGGGATTTTTTTGAGACTATTGTGAATGAAATTGTTTATCTGATTTCTTTTACAGTGAATTCATCGTTGGTGTATAGAAAAGCTATTGATTTTTGTATGTTGATTTTCTACCCTGCTACTTTGCTAAATTTGTTTATAAGCTGTAGCTTTATTAACAGTAAAAACAATGAGTAAACTGAGGAAAGAAGGAACTTACCTCACAAAGACTAATAGGATAAATCCCAAATCAACATCATACTGAATATGGAAAGATTGAAAGCATTTCCTCTGATATCAGGAATAAGACAATAGATGTCCCATTTCTGTTCAATATAGTACTTGAAATTTTACCTAGAAATATTCAACAAGAGGATTAAATAAAAGGGATACAAATAGGTAAGAAAGAAATCAAATTATGACTCTTTGTAGATGGTGTGATACCATTCTTACAAGATGCTAAAAGCTCTATGAGAAGATTTGGGTCATCAGATTGTGAAGCAGAAGATGAGCCATTAGCTCTGCAATCTCAAAAAAATTATTTTGGCTTTCCAAACTTCACTTTTGTCATCTTTTGACCATGTGACAATAACTATATGAGAGTTTTTTTTTTAAAGACAGAAATTCTAAGAAAATTTGAAACACTTTAGAAATCAGATATTCTAATACTTTTTTAAAATTCTATCTTTAAATAGCCTTAAGAGTCAGGCTCTGCCTTTTGGTAAGTGAATGTAGCCAGTTACTTATATTTTCAAATTTATTACTGCAAACATGATTTATTTGAACTATCTTTAAATCTAATATGAAATTTGAGTGGTTCTAAATATATATTTTCAATGCTTCCAATTTTCTCTTCTTCTACATGCAGCAGTAATACAAAAAATGACTGACCAGATGAACCAGCAATCCATGAAAGTGATGCTTCTGCAGAAGAAAGTTGACAATATTTCTTTGGCTATGGATGACGTAAGGAACACATATTCTTCCCTAGAAAGGAAAATCAGTGAAGATAAAGGCAGGGAATTTCAGTCTTTTCTAAAAGGTAAAAAAATTAAAATAAATGGCTCTTTCAATTCATACAAAAGGAAAATGATTCATCTTTTCTTGTGTCACTTTGGGATCTTTGCTGTAGATTGGGTGATACGGAAGTCTACAACATTTTTTTTAATGAGATATTTTATAATCACTCAACTTCTGAAATAACTTGAAATACTATATCAAAATAGTTTTTACTATGTGCACAAATCTTTGAATATTCCATATGGTTGATTGATGTTATATACCTAGTTACAGAATAATTGTCTTATGGTTAAAATCCATCATGGGTAATATCCAGTTCAAGAATAAAGACAGTGCTGAGGTAATGATTATCAAGGCAAACTAGATTCACAGATGTCTCAATATTATTGACAGAGGTATTGAGAATAAATCTGAAGTGGTTATCCCAGAAATTATCTAGGTCATGTTTTATAATCAATAAAGTATATTCTAAAACATTCCAGTTTGGAAAAGTAAATTTGCAATATAAATCGGATTAAGTTTTATCTGAATTCTGTGCTCTTAAAACAACAAGCTTAGAAGTATGCTGTGCTCTTTTATGGAGAATCTATAGCATAGATAATCTATTTTCTGTTAATTCAGTTTGTTGGCTAAATTTATTTCCTCCCAGCTATAGGACTGAGGTTCCTGCTTTTTTGAGATCTGTGAACTGAGGCCAATTCTCATCTTCTAGAGGCCACTGCATTTCTTGTCTCATAGTTTTCTTCCTCCACCTTCAAAGCTAGTGGGTTGAGTCCTTATAATGCCTCCCCAATATACTCTCTGCTTTCCTCTTCCAATTTTAAGAATGGATGTGATTAAATTAGACCTATCTGAATGACTAAAGACAATCTTAAGATCCTTAAACATATCTGCTAAGTCCCTTTTGCCATGTAAGGTAATATTCATAAGCACTGTGAGTTAGGATGTGGACCTCTTGTGGGGAGAGGAGTGTGAACCTTTCTGTCTACCATCAAGATTTATATATACATAGTAATTAGCATAGTAGTGTTATGCACAGGGTACAATGGGACCATTAGAGATTTGCAACAAATCCAGTGTAAGGGATCAGGGAATGCATTTAGGAAGAGAAGCCATCTCAACTGATATGTGGAGGATCAGGAGGAGATGACCTTTTGATAAGACTTGAATGTTTCAGGCAATTAGTTTGGTTACTAGGAGGATCCCAATGCACTGGGTTTATTGTATGTTTCCAAGTCTCAAGGTTAGTGGTCACTTTGACTTTGCTTTATTCATTAAAACTTTCTCACTAGATACCCCTATTTCTACACAATTTATTTATTTTTTTCTCTCTTGTGGTTCACATTTTTTTAAAAAAACTAAGTAGTTATAGATTTGATGTATCATCCACTAAGAAAGACACTTTTGCAGCTCAACAGCAACCATGACTCCATTATGTTTTTCAATCATGTAAATAGTGCTATTCAGCTACTGAAATGAAGACCCTGTCCTACATAATTGGTATGGCCAAAATTACCAATTAAAGCCATATAAGAAGAATTTTTTCTCTCTGAAGTAATAACATAAGAAAGAAGTTGGGCTGGGTTTGGAGCTCAGTGGTAGAGCGCTTGCCTAGCACATGTGAGGTACTGGGTGCAATTCAATCCTCAGTACCACATAAAAATAAATAAATAAGATAACGTATTGTATGTGTCTACAACAGAAAAATAAAAATAAAATATACAAAGGAAGAAGTCAAAAAGAAACAGCCTATGATTGACTGTAACCATCTTAATGAAATTAGCAAAATTTGGTTAACACAACCCAGGAGATTTAGGCTTGTCAATGGCTTTTTGTAACCTACTAACCTATTAAAAAAATCTGGCACAGGAAAAAACTGACACATGAAAAATCATACTCACAGCAACAATAATAAAACTCCCTACTCAATAGCAGGGATTAGTTATGTCCTTAGCACAATCATTAATTATGAGGACCAGAGGGCTTGTAGTTCATGAATATTCTTACAGGAAACAAAGACTAAACCCACCCCTAAGGTGCCAAGCTTGCCACAGCTTCCTCTCTTGTTTACTTCACATCCAAGGTTAAGAACAGTGCTTAATCTGCTAGTAACCATAGAAACTGTTGAAAATCAAATGTCTCAACTCCTCACAACCTATCTGAATGTTATGAAAAGACCCTATGTTCACCACCACAGAAAGGGCATGCAATTATGTCTGATATTAAATATATCTAAGTCACCAAAAACAATATTATTTTTTAAGAAAGTAGAAGCATTTAAGTCACATGAAACAGAATCAAAGAGTTCAAAATTATATTCCCACATAGATATTACCATAAGCCATCTTGGCATATTTTTTCAAAAATAGGTTTACATAAATATTTTTTGTAACAAATTGTGGAGATGTAATCCGAAACAGAAACAAAGTTTTAAGCTAATAATCTGTTCAGGTTTTTTTTTTTTTTTTCTTCAGACCTTGCTGTGATTTTCTCTTTTCTCCAATATATTTTTTTTTTCATAAAGATTTTAAAGAATTATGGCTAAGGCATCTCATATTTTTCATTTCATAATTTCTCCTACTTACTTTGACCAAAATTCTGACCTGAATTTTACCTGACACTGTTTTTATCTGTATTTCTTATTCTGACTTTCAGGTCATGTAGTTTTTGTTTCCCAAGGTCAAACACCTAATTGTCATTATCTACAACTAATTAATTCAATAAAGCTTAACTTATATTTTATCTTTACAATCTTGAAAAGCATCTTTTGTCATAATTCTAAGGTTATAAACTCAAAGAAGGGTTAACCCCAACCTTATGTATGCTTTATTGCACTACCTCATTTTTTTTTTTTTTTTTTGCTATCATGAGAATTAAAATTAAGTTTAACTAACAGGAGATAATTAATTACCTGTAGATAGTGCTACAAAAGTAATTGCACTATGGAGTGGCACCTTTCTTTGGGGGAAGCTCATATAGTCTGTTTTTAAGACAAAAAAATCTAATTTTCTAAATTTTATTTTTGGTATAGGATATAGAATGTATTTAAAGAATATTTGTCAAATAAATGGTGATTGGCTAAAGGCTGTCTGAATTTAGAAAATACAAATATTTTAAAACCTTTTGTTACAATTCAAAAGCTAGGAATTTTTATGTGTAACATCTCTTAATTGTGGCTATTTACATTTTTCTAATGAATTTATTCATTCTTGAGTACTCTGTGGTGTTGTGTGTCACTGACTATTATTCCATATTTGACATTTTTAAAAATGTTCCTATTACATACAGACTAATTTTTCTATACTTTTTGAACTTCAAAATTTATTTAAGTTTCCACTAGGTTTAGAAAATGTACTTTTTTTTTTTCTCATTTTAGCAACATCAATCATAAAATATAGGATTAACTGGGTCATTTTTGTCCATGTAAAACCATCTACTTTTACAGCTTTATCTTTGTACTAGATTTCATTGACAGCAAGATGTTTAAGCAACACTTCATTCTATTTTTTAATAATTTCTCTTTCACAATAATTTTCATGTAAGTCTCTCATGCATACTAAATACTTTTGAAAACATGCTTACAAAATAAATAAATAAAGAGCCTACACTCATTTTTTTATCCTATTTCCTATATAGGCTACTTAATAGCCATAACTCGAATGGCAATATCCCACTGCACCGATTTTCCTTTTGAAAATCCTATGTATTATGTTGCTTGTATCTTGTTGTATGGCCTTTGGTGTTTTTGAATTTGAATGGACAGATCTTACATTTACATTGCTAAATAGCTAGATACTATAAAATTTGGTTATCATAAACAGCTTTTTGTAACCCACTAACTTACTTTAAAAAAAATCTGGCACAGGAAAAAACTAATACAGGAAATAAACTTGACAATAATAATAAAATTCCCTACTCAATAGAAGGGATTAGTTATGTCCTTAACCCAGTATATATATATATATCTGTTTCTGAATGAAACAGTAGAATTTTGTTGCAGTTTTAAATATTCATTTTCTATTTATATCATTTGTAATAATCTATATAATACATTTTTCATTTTCTCTTTCTTTCTTAATACTACTTTTCAAACTTACCACAATCTTGGTTCATAATTAGCCTATGCTTTCTCATATTGGAGACACTAGTATGTAGTCATTAGCAGGAAGTTTCCTCCTCTCTTTCTGTTAAAATGTTGTCATATTATGAAAATTAAGCATATCTTGAATTCCTGTTTTGATTTACAACTGAATTGTTTTGTGATCATCAAACCTCTTATTTTACTTTTTTATTGTTACTGTAAACCATGTTGACTCCTGTGAATGTGAATTCATCTTTTTCTTCAATTAAATTTCTTTACTAGAGCAGATTCATAGTGTTTATGAATTCAAAACATAAGCTCTGAACCTGATTACCAGAAATCTAATAGCACAGTCATCAGCTAACAATGGGTATTATTTGCAAAGGCAAAAAGATCAAAGCAATTTATTTTCATTCAGGACTAGACCCAGATTATTGCACAGTAATGTCTATTACTGAAGCCAACAGTAGTTCCTTCATGTCTTTTGTCCATAGAACCTTAGATTTATGGTTCTAGCATGTTCTACATTACACTTGATTTCTCCAATCAGATTCATCAATCAACAAGGTGATTGCCTCCTATAAATTGTAGTTTTTAAAATGTTGCAAGTAAATATATTAGAGTATTATTTTCACTAGTTCATGTTATTAATAGTTTCAAACATCTACCTTTTAAATATATCTAGCCTCTCATAATTAAAATCGTGTATTTTTTATTATTTGTTATCTTTGTCTTTAGGTCTAAAATCCAAAAGTATTAATGATCTAGTAAAGGACATAGTAAGAGAACAATTTAAAGTCTTTCAAAATGACATGCAAGAGACTGTCGCACAGCTCTTCAAGACTGTGTCGAGTTTGTCAGAGGACCTTGAAAACACCAGGCATATAATTCAACAAGTTAATGCATCTGTGGTTTCAATAACAGTCCAACAAAAGTCTATTTTAATGCCAGAAAATAGGCCCACAGTGACTGATATAGTAGATCTAAAGAATCACATTGTGAATATCAGACAAGAAATGACTTCTACGTGTGAGAAGCCTATTAAAGAACTAGAGGCAACGCAGGCTCGTTTACAAGGTGCTCTAGAACAGGAACATTCAAGGGGCATTCTGTACTATGAATCCCTCAATAAAACTCTTTCCAAAATGAAAGAAGTACACGAGCAGCTTTTATCAAATGAACAAGTGTCAGACCAGAAGAATGCTACAGCTGCTGAATCCGTCAGCAATAATGTCACTAAATACGTATCAATTCTACATGAAAAGATAAACAAGCAAGGTTTGATGATGCTGCAGATGTTTGATGATTTGCACATCCAAGAGAGTAAGATTAACAATCTCACTATCAGTTTGGGGATGGAGAAGGAATCTGTCAGGGTTGAATGCAAAGACATGCTATCTAAGTGCAGAAATGATTTTAAATTTCAACTTAAAGACACAGAAGAGAGTTTACATGTGTTAAACCAAACATTGGCTGAGGTTCTCTTTCCAATGGAGAACAAGATGGATAAAATGAGTGAGCAACTAAACGATTTGACATATGACATGGAGATCCTTCAACCCTTGCTTGAACAGGGAGCATCACTCAAACAGACAGTGACATTGGAACAACCCAAGGAAGTAGTAGTTACAAGGAAAAAGATGGAAAGTCTGATAAGTGCTGTCAACAGTCTACATTTTCTGATCAAAGAACTTACAAAAAGACACAATTTACTGAGAAATGAAGTACAGAGTCGTGAAAATGCCTTAGAAAGACGCATTCATGAATTTGCCTTTGAAATGGAAGATGGCCTGAATAAGACAACAACTATTATAAATAATGCCATTGATTTTGTTCAAGATAACTATGTGCTAAAAGAAACTTTAAGTACTATTAAGTATAATCCTGAGGTCCACCACAAATGTAACCAAAACATGGAAACCATTATGAGATTTATTCCTCAGTTCCAACGTTTAAATGATTCTGTTCAAATTTTGGTCAATGACAGTCAGGGATATAATTTTGTTTTGCAAGTTGCCAAGGCCCTTGCAGCTATTCCTAAAGATGAGAAAGCAGATCAGTTCAACTTTCAAAATATTTCTCAAATGTTCAATGAAACCATTTACCAAGTGATGAAATATCAGCAAAACATGAGTCATTTGGAAGAAAATATACTCTCAGCCACCAAGATTTACAAAAACTTTGAAACTCGATTGCAAAGCATTGAATCTAAAGTGAGTCAGACACTCATTCCTTATTATATTTCACTTAAAAAAGGCAGTATGACTGCAAATGAGAGAGACCAAGCTCTTCAACTACAAGTATTAAATTCCAGATTTAAGGCCCTGGAAGCAAAATCCATCCATCTTTCAACTAATTTCTCTTTGCTTAACAAAACTCTCCATGAATTTTTTACCGTGTGTTGTAATGCTCCAACAAGCGCATCACAACAAAATGCTGCTGTACTTAAGTGGATAAAAGGTTCTCTGCCACAAAATCAGCTTCCTCAGAAAGGTCTGACAGAATTTGTGGAATCAATAATTGAAATAAAAACTCAAGCTGCCCTATCTAACTTAACTTGGTATATAGATCGATTGTTGTCTGAAGGTCTGGCAAATGTTGTCAAGTCTCAGAAGCAAGTAAAATTGCTGAAGAAACCTAACACACTTAAGAAACCCACAGTAAATCTTACGACCGTTCTGATAGGCCGGACTCAAAGAAACACAGACAACCTTGTGTATCCTGGTAAGCTATTTCTAAAAATAACTTTTAATTTCTCTTTCTAGTTAAATGACATTTAGCAAGTCTGTACAGTCTAGCAAGTATAAAAGGTGTTCCCTTGAAACTGGATAGTCAAGTATTAGAAGATCATAGAAAGATTATTTGAATCTCATTCTATGTAAATTATTAAAACAAAACATGTACTTCTAGTGTGCATATTTGTCTACATGTTTTTATTATTTTCTGATATTTGGTGAATTGATCATCTGATGATCATTATAAAATAATTAAATTTTCTCCCATTCAATACATTTCAGCGTAAGTAGAGAAAAGTATTCCACAGTGATTTGGTAAACAAGATCAAAAAATCATTTTGGCTTTACTGGACACAATATCAGATGTGTAATAAGAACTCAGTAATTATCTGTTGAATGACTGCTTTATGATATATGTTTAGGAATTAGGATTGAGTAGATCACAGAAGGTCATTAAGTGCCAAACTGAGTCACTTAGATCCAAATTTGCCAGTGGAGGGATATCTGTAGAAATTTGGGGTAATGGGCTCTGTGTAGTAAGATTCAAAAGCATGAAGCTAACAGCCGCACATGGCATGAGTGCAGAGAATGACATTAAGGTACTGATTAGAGCATTACTAAATAAATTTTGGCAATATCAATAAGAGTAATATCTAAAGAAGTGATAGTTAAAAAAGAGGCATCAGAGGCAAGAAATGTAGTGAATGTATAATTAACAGAAAAAAAGAGCAACTAATTAAAATATTCACCTATCTGGTGTCCCAGTTTTTTCCTTCGGAGTAAGAGGATTGCAACTGGTAATTTGCCGAGGAGAAATGTGTTGCAGACTGCGTCACTGAAAAAAAAAATAAAAATAAGCATCTATTCACAGACTCCATACATGGAACTTGGAGAAGGGAGACCCTAGAATATTCTGAAGTTTTAGATTTGGGTAATGAGAGGATGTTGGTGCCATTAACAAGATGTTGTTAGCACCACAGGAGAAAGCGCAGATTTGAGAGGAAAGAGGGATTCAGTGTGGTAATATAAATAACTTAATAGTATGAAAGAAATGTTTTTTAAGTGTTCAGCTGCTGAGTAATATCTAGTAATATTTTCACAATGAGAATAACTGCTTATTCTTACTAAAAGAAATGGCTGTGTTTTTCTCACATAAGTAAGCTGTTAAATTATATGCCCATTTGGATGAATTTTGTATTTTATTGCTTTTTAATTACAAAGAGTGCTCATTATCTTAACATAGAGTGAATTTTCATATTTAATCTCCAAATGTTTTGATAATGTTAAAAATCACAGAATACTCTCGGGATGAATTCTTGTGAATGTTTAATTAGTATATTTATTTATGAGTACCCCAAATTAGTCTGACTAGGAGGATTAATCTTACCCTTATGGGTATACAGAATAAACTGTTTAGAGTTATGTGTCCTCAAAGAAATTTAGTATCCCAATATAAGATGTCCTTGTAGTAACAATTTTAGGAAAGATAATGATGTGTTCTTTTTCAAAGTACCATACTATCTTGGTCTTCATGTGGGATTTGCAATATGAGCTTCAGTGAAATTCTGCAGTATGTTTGATGAGACATCAAGCAAGTAATTATATCTGGATCTATATAGTAAATATAAATTTTAAATAACCTGAAGTAAAAAGTTTATAGAATGTAAGAACTTATAAACTTTAGTAGTGTAAAGAATTCATCTTATGACCTAACAAAAATTCAATTGAAATATAAAGTGGTTTACTCAATATTGAATTTAATGGGCTAATAGGGAATAATTCAGTTTTGATTCATATTTTTCCAGTAATGTTTTGATTAAGTTGTTTCCTGTTTCTTTACTTACTGAGAGCAGAATGTTTATATAACTATCTGGCCACACTGACAGTTAATAAAATTTCTTTATTCCATCTCTGTAAAAATATCAATAGTGATTCCAGGGCAACAAAGGTGTATTGGCCTAATTCTATGTGCAAGTTGGAAATTCACCTTATGTGGGACAGGTGGCATACTGTGTCCAGCCCCTTTGAGCAATTGTATATGGTTTTCATGCCCATTAAATTGGCCATGCTCCTAGGGTCCATAAAATTTGTGGCACTGTTTGGAAATCTGAACAAGTAAGGTTTCTGCAAGGTGATAAAACCAGTGGATGCAGGCTAAGTTCTCTTTCTGTCTCTTTCTCTTTGGTACTAGGGATTGAACCCAGGGTCACTTAACCACTGAACCTCATCTGCAGTCCTTTTTAATATTTTGTTTAGAGACTAGGTGTCTAAACAATATGATATTGGATACTGTTTATTACTATTTACTTCATCCAAAACACTGTATAAATTATACTATATCCTTCCTTTACCAATACCTATGAGTTAGTATTATTATCATCCTTATTTTGAAGATGACTAGACTAACCTGCAGAGAGATTAGCCTAAGCATCCTGCTGAGGGTCATTTACCTTGTATGTGGCTCCTGGGGGCTGTGTTCTCATCCACTACATTAGTTTGCTTTTGTTTTTGTTGTTGTTGTTGTTTTTCACATGCCTTCATTTTCCTTCTGCTTCTGTCCCATGCATCATGTGCTTTACAGAGTCTCACCATATCTGAATATTCCATAATGACTACAGTTGATATTCTCAGGGAATTTGCTTTCTTGGGAATTCAAATCCTGACAACTTTTTCTGTGTTGATGCTGAGGAAGTAAAGGTACTATTTTCAGTTTGTTTATTTATGTTATATGGCCAGTGGTTTATGTAGGAGGTTGCCGCAGTCTGGCTGGGCACAAAATCATGAGCCACTCAAACAGGAACAAATTTTATTTTTGAAACTCCCGCCAATGCCCTGTATGCTCCCGGAAATATGCTAAGACACACACACACACACACACACACACACACACACACACACACACACACACAGGCATTCTCCCGAACACACCACTCCAACAGGAAATCCCTCCTCCGGAATTCCCTTCTACGCACTTTCCCAACCAATGGGAACTCTTTGGGAGTCCCCCTGGAGCTCCAAAGTAGCAGGCTGAGGTGAACAGCAGGGGTCTAATATCCACTTGAATGCAGATCTTAACATAATCATATCAACTCAATGGCTTGCTGGCCTCACCTTTCAACCAAAAATGCCATGCATCATTACTATTTGGCTATGGCTCTTAGCAGGAGGTGTCCTCCAAAAGCTCAGTTACAAAACATTACAAGACTTTTTGGAGGTGAAATGATTAGATTTTGAGAGGTATAACTTAATCAGTGGATCAATCCACTGATACAGATTAACTGTCCACAGGTAGGGTATGGCTGGAGGAGTTAGGTCACTAAAGGTGTGCCTTTGGAGTATATATTTTGTTCCTGGTAAGTGAGATGCTTTCCTCCACCATGCCCTTCCATCATGTATTCTGCCTCACTTGGGGCCCAGAGCTATGGAATCGGCTGGTCACCGACTAAACTTTTGAAACTAAGCTCCAATATTTTCCAACTTTTCCTCTTCTACACGACTTTTGGTAAAGCAACAGAAGAGCTGACTAAATCAGGATCTTCCTTTACCAGATGTAGGAGAATGGCAACAAAGTTCAGGGTACTCATCCTCAGCACTTCCTTTTCAAACCAGGCTTACATTCAGTTATGCTAATTCTGATTCCTAGTAGGCCAGTGCTGATAAGCTGTTCTGATTCAATTGCTAAATATTTGTCTTGTTTCTAAACAATATTCCAATAGACATCAAGAGGTTTTTTATTTCATTTGTGAAGATTTGTTTGTATTGGCAGACTGATCTCTGCAGAGAGAGTCTGGCTGCTTGCCCTTCCAAGGACAGCTAAATCCTGCCTCAGCTTCATTTCTTAGTCCACTGTGGAGCATGGGCACTCAGGTTTGTGGCTCATTCATTCACTGTTTATTAACCATCTCCCTGATGTGTAACCGTTTAGCTATCGTTGATATTTGTCTTGTTGCTAAACAATATTCTAATAGACATCAAGAGTTTTTTTTTTAAATTTATCCTATTCATAATGATCCCAGTACTCTTACGAAAGATTTCTTTCTATAAAATATTTAGTAGTATACAACTTTAAAAAATCATTGTTGTGAATATAAGCAATTTTAAAAATTGTGTCAATAAATCATCAGTGTTGAAGAGAATATTAAATAAACTACTTGTTGTCCATGGCTCCCTGGGAGAAGAAAAATACCTTCCCAGATTTCTATGTGATTTCCCTTCATATAGAAAGATGATCACAGGTGAAGAGAGAAGTCTGACACAATTAACAACCCTTTCCTGCACCTTGTCCTACAATACGATGACCAGCATATCTCAGGTGAACAGTCAGATTCCCATGCATGGGATGGACATTTTCTGACCCAAAATTTCTAATATTTAGCTTAACATTAATAGCAAAATGTAGCAGAATGTCAGCTTCTGTTTACGTAGTTGCTGCTTATGTTTGGATTTTTCCTAACTAAGCAAGAGTCACAGGAGTCATTTTTCTAAATTAAATTTAAAAGGACATCAAAGATTTGAAACTAAATTTGATTATTAAGTGATCTGTAAATTGAATATAGTGAATAGATGTTTTTCTCTTGGTCATTAACTGCATTATTTATTTTAAATTGTGCACAATGGTATTATTTCATGTCGTATTGATTATCATACCATGGTTAATTAACAATCCTGCTAGAAATATTTTATAATTTTAAGCAAGTGATAAAACTGTAATTTGTTTGGAGACTTAATTTTAAGAGACTTCAGCACAAAGACCATGTTGGAAAACTCTGGGCATGGTGAGATAAACCAAGGGAAAACTATCTCACCTTAGAACTGGAAACAGGATCAGAGTTAGGGCAACAATAACCTTTAAAGGGTAGCTGGAAAGAGAGAAAAGTCAAGAGGGAATATTGGGGAGGAACAGAGATAAGAGAATAAGCAAATCTTATATGAATATTAACATCTAATTTTGATTTCCAGATCTTTCACAGTGAATTAGAAGTTCTAAAA